TAGAATCATAGAGTTGGAAGAGACCACAAGGACCATCGAGTCCAACCCCTGCCAAGCAGGAAACACCATCAGAGCACTCCTGACATATGGTTGTCAAGCCTCTGCTTAAAGACCTCCAAAGAAGGAGACTCCACCACACTCCTTGGCAGCAAATTCCACTGTCGAACAGCTCTTACTGTCAGGAAGTTCTTCCTAATGTTTAGGTGGAATCTTCTTTCTTGTAGTTGGATCCATTGCTCCGTGTCCGCATCTCTGGAGCAGCAGAAAATAACCTTTCTCCCTCCTCTATGTGACATCCTTTTATATATTTGAACATGGCTATCATATCACCCCTTAACCTCCTCTTCTCCAGGCTAAACATGCCCAGCTCCCTTAGCCGTTCCTCATAAGGCATCGTTTCCAGGCCTTTGACCATTTTGGTTGCCCTCCTCTGGACACGTTCCAGTTTGTCAGTGTCCTTCTTGAACTGTGCTTCCACCTCTTCTTCACTTTTTAAAATGCCTCATCATGTTCTTTATTTCTCTTGTTTCAACCACAGGCAGAGCTGAAGCACCTATTTCTGCCTGACAACAGCACCCAAGAATGGTGCAAAGCAGGAGCAAGAAGGGAGAACGTAATCTCTCATACCTGCATGCTGCTTCTTTGGACAGCCGTAATACTGCTCAACTACCGTGGGTTTAGGTGGTGTCATAGGTGCTGCCCCCCCTCCCCCGGTGCCTGCAACAAGTTCTCTCTCTTTTTTTTAAATAAATTTGTATTAGTTTTCAATATAATCATACAATTTTATCCAAATTTTCCCTAATTTTAACAAAATACAAAAGTTCTCTGGTAATCATCCATTTTTGATTACTTCTCTGGTAATCATCCATTTTTACCCTTCAGTACGCATTCCTTTATTTGCATTGCCATTTGTCTTCCCTTCCTTTTCTATTTACTTTCAGCAATACCTCTTAAAATTTTACAGTGCTTCTTGAAACCCCACTAGCGTTGCTTGCACCTCACATATATTTTTCAGATAATCTGCAAATTTTCCCCAATCCTCGATGAACTTTTGGTTTCGGGCATATCTTATTTTCCCGGTCAGTTTATCCAGTTCCGCATAGTCCGTCAATTTCATTCTCCATTCTTGAATCGTCGGTATTTCCTCTTGTTTCCATTTCTGAGCCAATAGAATTCTTGCTGCCGTAACTGCATACTGAAAAAGTTTATAGTCTTTTCTTCTTATATCTTTTCCTGTAATCCCTAAAAGAAAAGCTTCTGGTTTCTTCACAAAAGTGTATTTTAACATTTTTTTCAATTCATTATATATTGCTTCCCAGAAACTCTTTACTTTCTTACATTCCCACCACATGTGGTAGAAAGTTCCCTCTTTTTCTTTACATTTCCAACACTTATTACATGTGTCAGGGGTTCAGGAGCAGAGGCACAGGAAAGGGAGGAAATAGAGAGCGAGGGGGAGGAGTCCGAAGGAAATGTTAGCGATGACAGCGGTCCGAGGTCTCTGAGTCTTTCCAGCGAATCGGAAGATTCACAGAAAGGGGCTCCCTTGGTCAGAGCAAGGGGGTGCCGAGGGGACACCCCAGGAAGAAGGGGCCAGAGGGGACTCAGAGAGCAGCAGTTGGAAATCAGGACCAGCGTCCACACCAGAGTGCAGTAGGGGAGGGGTCCCAGGCATCGGGATCAGGCGGCGCACTGCCAGTGGGAGGACATGCGTCAGGATTGGCAACGCCGCCCTCGGGGAGCGAGGCAACGGTGGCGAGGACGGTTGAAGGCTGGGCGCGCGCGCCAAGTTCAAATGTACAGGAGGGCGGCGCAGTTGGCAGCCCGGATAGGGAGCCAGGTCCCAAAGCCCGCCGAAAGAGGGGAGGAGTCAGGGGTCAGCGTCAGAAGAATCCAGGAAGGAAGGGACCCGGGGGTAGCAGGACCCAGAGGAGAAAGGAGAGACGTAAGAGGTGGAGTAAGGCTAGAATGTTAAACTGGTGTACAGGGGGCGGAGACGCAGTTGGCGCTTCGCCGATCTACCCCCTTGTCGTAGAGCTGGGGCGCTGCGGCTTGAAAATGGAAACTGTACTTCAATAAAGACTTTTGTACATTACTGCCGGCTAGCGTTGGTCCTCTGTGAGCTGGGACCTGGAGCCAGCTCTGACAGTAAGCTCCATCTCTTAAAGTTTTGCACCAAAAACCTCGTAACGTGAGTGGACGCAGCGAGGGGAGAAGATTGGTGCTTCGCGAGCTCACAAAAGTCAGGCAAGATGACTACAGAACAGCAACTAGCAGCCCTGCAAAATGCAGTGACACAACTCAACGCGGAGGTACTCGCATCCAGGAAAAGGGAAGAGGAAGCGGCTGCCGCCTGCAGGGATCTCCAAGCCAGGTTGGAAGTGCTTGCTAAGCAGGGGCAACCGGGACCCAAATCAGAGGGGATTGGGCTGGGGAAAAGAGGAGGCAGCCTGGTATCTCATTTCGATGGGAATTTGCAGCAGTACCCTAACTTCCGAGCAGACGTGCTGTTTGCGCTGGAACTGCTGGATAAAGACTTTAGAGATGAGCAAGAGAAGGTGGGGTTTATCTTGTCCCATTTGCATGGGGAAGCTAAAGCGTGGCTGCGCAATCTGTGGAGAGATAAGGATCCGGCGCTCCAAAATGCGGATGCATTCATTAAAGCGATGGATTCGTGTTTTTATCAAATATAGACATTGATATCGCCAGAAAAGACATACATGGGCTCAAACAAGGCAGAGCCAGTGTAAGGCAGTACCATTCCCGCTTTTTGCATTAGTCCATGCGCTGGGATGGGAGAAGGATTCTGCCCCAGCCAGAGACCTTTTTGGGAAGGCTTGAATGCAAATGTGAAAGATGAGATTGCAAGGGGGGAGAGACCAAAGAGCACTCAGGAGGTTGTCCGGCGGGCGCTGCAAATTGGGGTGCGTCTGGAAGAACGTCCATGGAACAGAGAAGAAGGACGTTGGGGACGTACGCCAGTGAGAGCACCTCCCTCTTTCCCAAGGATGCAGCGCGTGTGCAATCCCCCCCTCCGCAAGGAGGGAGAGCAACCGATGGAGATTGGAGGCGCCAGGGCTCAGTCAGCAACCAGAGCCCTAACACCGGGAGCAGTCAAGCGAAGCCTCCTAGAGGGAACAGGAAGTGCTACATCTGCGACAGTGCTCAGCACATGGCGAAAGAGTGTCCCCAGAGGCTCCACAAGCACACTGCAGCCTCAGCAACAGTAACAGACGCAACTCAGCACAGAGAACCACAGCAGGGAACGACAGAGTCTGGTTGGAGGAAGAGGCACTGGGGCCCAGCCAGACAAGTCAATGAAGCCGTCCCCAGAGATTTTGCAGCCCACAGACCCCCTCCCGCCCAAACCAGTGGTGCAGCTCACAGCATCGCTCCAACTACCCAATGGACTCACTATGGAAGTGCCGATTACCATTGACTCTGGTAGTAACGCAGACTTCATAGGACTGGATTTCATTCAAGAGCACAACATAGCACTCCTGCCAGCCACGCTGCCTCTGAAAGTTGTCACGGTGGATGGCAGGGAATTGCTGGGGGGGCAGGTGGTGCAGCAAACGCCTCCGATGATGATGCAAATTGGGAATCACCGAGAAGTCATCAGCTTCAATGTCACCCAACTGTCGGACACGCCTATAGTATTAGGCATGAGTTGGCTGCACAGGCACAGCCCAGCATTGGCGTGGTACCAGCGACAACTGACCTTCGGCTCCTCATACTGTGCGGAACATTGCATTCTGCCTAGCCCGGAAGGGGAAGAGGATGACCCGCAGCTACAATTAGGCACGCTGCAAGCAGTGCCACTCAAGTACGCAGCGTTTTTGGAGGTTTTCTGCGAGAAGGAAGCGGACAAGCTACCTCCCCACAGGTCCTATGACTGCAAGATTGACCTCCTGCCAGGGCGACGCTGCCAACCGGGAAACTGTATTCCATGTCTGAAGACGAGCTGCAGGAACTCAGGAGTTCATAGACCTCAACTTGAAGCGCGGTTTCATCCAGGAGTCGAAGGCAGTGGGGGCAGTCCTGTATTCTTTGTGAAGAAGAAGGACACGCCCCAAAAAGGCTTGTGGTGGACTATAGAATTTTGAACTCGAAAACCAAGCCCACAGCCTTTCCCATGCCCAAGATAGATGACCTGCTCGCAACGGTGAGGAAAGGACGCGTTTTCACAAAGTTGGATCTGCGAGGGCGTACAACCTGATTCGCATACGGGAGGGCGACGAATGGAAGACTGCCATGTTCACGCCCCTGGGCACCTATGAATACAGAGTTATGCCCTTTGGATTACAAAATGGCTCCCACTGTTTTCAAGCCTTCATGCATCACGTATTGGCGGGTCTCCTCTACAAGAAATGCGTCTGCTTCCTGGACGACATCCTGATATTTTCAGAATCAGAGGAGACCCACGAGGGAGACGTCAAGGAAGTTCTGCAGAGACTGCAGGAGCACAGGCTGTACGCCAAGCTGGAGAAGTGCCAGTTCGACATGAAGGAGGTAGATTTCCTGGGCTACAAGTTGTCGGACAAGGGGCTCGCCATGGACAGCGCCAAGGTTCGCTCAGTGTTGGACTGGAAGAGCCCGCGCAATCGGAAGGAGGTCCAGCGGTTTGTCGGTTTCGCCAACTTTTACCGCAAGTTCATCAAGGGGTTCGCGATGCAGACGGCGGCCATTACCGACACGCTCAGCTCCAAGAAGAAGAAGTTCATCTGGACGGAGCAAGCGGAGCAGTCCTTTCAGAAACTCAAGCGTCTCTTCTCGTCCGAAGAGCAGCTACTGCATGTGAATCCCAGCAGACCGATGAGGGTTGAAACGGACGCCTCAGACAGAGCCGTGGGAGCAGTACTGTTGCAGCAAGACCCGCATGGGGACTGGAGACCGTGTGCCTTCTACTCCAGGAAGCTCAGCAAGTCAGAGCAGAACTACACCATCTGGGACAGGGAGTTGCTGGCCATTCATGCAGCATTCAAGGCGTGGCGGCACTTCCTCATTGGAGCCAAACACACAGTGCAGGTCCGCACGGACCATAAAAACCTGGAGTACTGGCGCACGGCAAGGTTCCTGAACCAGAGGCACATACGATGGGCGGAGTTCTTTGCGGATTTCGACTTCAGGATAGAGTACATCCCAGGCGACAACAACATCATGGCGGATGCACTGTCCAGAAAGCCGCAATACCTCGAGGAGGCGGCACCAGCAGCGGCCAAGCACATTTTCGCACCGAAGCGTGGGCGTGCGCTTCAGCAACCGTGGACCTGGATGCTGTACGTCGAGCACTGCAGGAGGACCCCTTCGCGCAAGCAAAGATGGCAGAGGTGCAAAGGGGCACGGCGGAGGACGACGAGTTCCAGATATGCGACGGATTGCTCATCCGCAGAGGGGCCCTCTACGTACCGGGAGACGACAGCATCGAGAAAGTACTGCAGCAGTTGCACGAAGCAACCACAGCTGGGAACGTTGGCAAAGAGAAGACGGTATAATTAGTAGCCAGAGATTTTTTGTGGACCAAGATGAGTTTGGAAGTCGCGGATTACGTCTCGAGGTGCGACACCTGCCAAAGGGCCAAGTCAGTGCACAAACCGCCGGCGGGACTGCTCGAACCGCTGCGGACACCGCTCGAACCGTGGGAGAGGGTGGCCCTGGACTTTGTCACGGATCTACCCAGCTCGAGTGGCAAGACGGCAGTGCTAGTGGTGGTGGACATGTTCACCAAAATGGCCCACTTCATTCCGTGCGCGAAGGTGGCCACGGCGGAACAGACCGCCAAACTGTTCATAGACCACGTGTTCAGGGTTCACGGTCTGCCACGGTCTATCCTGTCCGACCGGGGGCGACAGTTCATCTCGAACTTCTGGCAGAAGCTGATGGGTTTCCTGAACGTCAAGATCAACCTAGCGTCGGCGAGACACCCGCAGACGAACGGACAAGCGGAGCGAGTCAGCGCCATCATGCAGCAGTACCTGCGATGCTACGCAAATCAGCAGCCGGCAACATGGGTGGACTACCTGCCGCTCGCTGAGTTCGCCTACAACAACACGAAGCACGTGTCCACGGGGGTGACACCGTTCTTCGCCAACAACGGGAGGCATCCCAGAACCTTCCCGGGATTAGCGAGAGCGGGGAGGGGAGCCACAGGCAGCGGAAGCCTTAGCATCAGAGTTGCAGGAGGTTCACGAACAGCTCGGAGGCAGTTAGAACTAGCAAAGCACGCATACAAACTGCAGGCTGACAAGCACAGAAGGGTTGGGGAAGACATACAGGTGGGAGACTGGGTTTGGTTAGCAGCCCAGGCAGTGCCGGCCAGATCGTTAGCGAAGAAGAAGCTAGGGCATAAGCAGCTAGGACCCTACCAAGTCGAGGCACAGGTCAATCCAGTGGCCTTCCGGTTGACACTGCCGGAGGGATCCAGAATGCACCCAGTTTTCCATAGATCAGTGCTCACGCCCTACAAAGCACCTCATAGATTTCAGGAGCCAGGAACGGCACCAGACCCGTTCAGGGAAACGCCCACAATGGGGGTCGCCAAGGCGGGAACCCGTCAACGAAGTCACAGAGATTTTAGACTCGAGATGGGGGGAAGAGGGAGTAGAATATCTTCTCGCCAGAGAAGGTACCCCGGCCAGCGCCAACAGTTGGGTGCCAGACCATGCCTTGGACGAACCTTTTCTCAAGGACGAGTTTCATGCCCTTTTCCCACACAGGCCCATGCCAGCCGAGTATTTCGACGACTGGCTTTTCACACCCACATTTTCAGCTAGCACATTCCAGGGGTTCACCTCGGACGAGGAACCGGCACTAGAAACACGTTCCCCGGAGGGATCACCCTCGGGGTCTGCCTCAGACCGTTCCTATTGGTGGGACAATCAACCAGAGGAGCAGTGGCGCAGGAAGTGGCTGGGGGGTCCTTGGCAGGCAACGTCCCCGGAGGAGACAGGAGGAGAGACGGACATGGACGTGTTGGGGGAGGACCTTGGGTTCGAGCACGGCGGCAAAGAGATGGAAGCAGAGGAAATTGAGGTCGGCGAGAGCACGGAGGACGAGCCGGACTTATCCGGCTGGATGCACGCCACGGGGGACGAACTGTATCCGGCACTCACCCCACAACGACGGAGCACCCAGTACCCACACCTGACGGTGGGGAGGGTGGAATGGGGGGCTTCGAGGGGGGGAGGGATGACGGGGGTTCTGGAGCAGAGGCACAGGCAAGGGAGGAAATAGAGAGCGAGGGGAGGAGTCCGAAGGAAATGTTAGCGATGACAGCGGTCCGAGGTCTCTGAGTCTTTCCAGCGAATCGGAAGATTCACAGAAAGGGGCTCCCTTGGTCAGAGCAAGGGGGTGCCGAGGGGACACCCCAGGAAGAAGGGGCCAGAGGGGACTCAGAGAGCAGCAGTTGGAAATCAGGACCAGCGTCCACACCAGAGTGCAGTAGGGGAGGGGTCCCAGGCATCGGGATCAGGCGGCGCACTGCCAGTGGGAGGACATGAGTCAGGATTGGCCACGCCTCCATCGGGGAGCGAGGAAACGGTCGAGAGGAAGGTTGAAGGCTGGGCGCGCGCGCCAAGTTCAAATGTACAGGAGGGCGGCGCAGTTGGCAGCCCGGATAGGGAGCCAGGTCCCAAAGCCCGCCGAAAGAGGGGGAGGAGACAGGGGGGTCAGCGTCAGAAGAATCCAGGAAGGAAGGGACCCCGGGGGGTAGCAGGACCCAGAGGAGAAAGGAGAGACGTAAGAGGTGGAGTAAGGCTAGAATCTTAAACTGGTGTACAGGGGGCGGAGACTCAGATGGAGCTTCGCCGATCTAACCCCTAGCCGTAGAGCTGGGGCGCTGCGGCTTGAAAATGGAAACTGTACTTCAATAAAGACTTTTGTACATTACTGCCGGCTAGCGTTGGTCCTCTGTGAGCTGGGACCTGGAGCCAGCTCTGACAACATGTTTTATACATTTTTGCCAATTTTACCGGAGTGATATACCATCTGTAAAACATTTTCATTACATTTTCCTTCAACCCCATGCATACAGTAAATTTTAAACTTTTCTTCCATAATTTTTCCCAATCTTCAAATTGAATGTTATGTCCAAAGTCTTTGGCCCACTGTATCATTGCCGATTTAACCTCTTCGTCTTTCGCAAACCATTCTAACAGTATCTTATACATTTTTGACAGAGTTTTATATTCATTATTTATTATCTCTGTTTGGAACTTTGAGTCTTTTTCTGCATATCAGCTTTCATTAATATCTTTTTAAACATTTCATTTACCTGAAAGTAATGCAACCAGCCTGCAACAAGTTCTCATGGTCCGCTGCTGGCGTGTGAAAGCCCAAAGGGGCTCATCGCAGGCAGGTGCGGAAGGCCTGGCAAAGCCTGCCACAGCAAAGCCTGCCCCCTCAAGGTTGGGGGGGCAGCTCCATCCCCTCAGCCATAGAGAGTTGGCACCTACGGGTGGTATGGTCAGACGAGGGCTGCCATCTTAAACCTTCCCAAGTCTAGGTAAATGCGTCACAAAATTCCCCGTTTTAAAAAATCCCCAAATTGCAGCAACACTGGAGCCCATGAGAAGGGATTGTTCTTTCTGTTCTTCTAAGTCCCACTTGTCCCTTTCAGCCTGAAATAACCAGCTGCACCTATGTAAGAGCTAGAAGTCTTAGTAGACTGCAACATGAGTCAACAATGTGATTCTGTAGCAAAAAAAGCTAATGCATCAATAGAAGTCTAGTCTCTAAATCTAGTACTACTCTATTCTGCCTTGGCCAGACCACACCTGGAATACTGTGTGGACAATGGACTAGACACTGGACTAGAAAAGCTCCTGGCCTGATCCAGCAGATGCTCATCCCACATTCTTATTTTTTTCTTAAGAATAATAGTTGCCATAATTGTGCATCTACAGTAGTCTTTGTACAAGTGAAGCATTAAGGAGGTTGGGCCAGAAGAAGTCTTGCTCATGGAGAGGACAAAACGAGGCAACACAAGGAAATGTGCCTTTTCAGGTGAGGAAGCACTTACCTTTCCACAACTTTATCTCTCAGCTGCAAAATACTTGTTCTGTTGATCAGGAGGTATTGTGCTTCGTTTACTAGAGAGAGTGGGGCCCTTGCAGCAGAGGTCTCTCCTGAAATACATTCAGTATAAGGGGATAGTTATTAGAAATTCTGAGCACAGTGGAAGGAATCCAGTCTCTATCAAAGGCCTCTTATAGCTAAAATAGACATTGTGAAGATGAGGGGTAAAGGTGCTGTTGCTACTTGCGCAAGTGTTACATGCAGTGCAATTTTTCTAGAAAAAGAGGTGCTGGAGCTCACCACAAACTTATCCCTTGTTCTCTTAGAATGGCAATGGCGCCCCCCCTGAGAGGTGCCAGAACTGAGCTCCAGTGACCTCCAGCTGGAAAAAAAACCCTGGTTCCATGCATGTCATTTCATGCATCAACATGTCAGTGAATTTGAAGCCAGGCAAGCACACTGCTTATGTGCTAATGCTGTACATGAATGGGCCAACGTGCAAGCTGACTGCCTCTATTTGCATGGCTTGGAGCCAGACTACATGTGACACCCACAAGAACAAACAGCTTAGCTATGTCCCTTGATAATTCTTATGGCTCCCATGCCTATAGGCAGAGAAAGTTGAAGAGGACTGAATTTGCAGTAAATCTCCTATTTCTCCCTTTCTTTCTCTGTCACACACACACACACACACACAGAGAGAGAGAGAGAGAGAGAGAGAGAGAGAGAGAGAGAGGAGCCCACTTTCCTGCTCCACCGAACTTCTATTGCGAATCAGCTGCTAAACAGAGAAAAGCAAGGATTAAAGGCTCCCCCATCCCCGTGTGTCCCCATCTGATCTCTCCAGCTTCCTCTGACAGTAGATGGTGGGATCTGAAAACTCTTATCAGGCAGAGCCAAAATGTTCTCACATGGTGAGTGGGATGTGTAGTCCCACTCGATTCATAACAGGTAAAGATATTAAATCCTTAGAAGCTTCAAGAAGATTCTATCTCTTGAAAGGCATGGAAGCATTGTTTGGGGCAATCACCATGACTGAGCACTACTCCTAATATGATCTATCCCTGCCATCCATGAACTCAAACTCCTCCTTACTCTGCTTGCATCTCCAAGCCCTCGCTCTCCATTTGCTGATCTCTTCTCGTTACCCATCCAACATCCCATTTACTATTCAACTTATGCACCCTTAACAATCCTGCCCTCCCACTGGCCTCGTCATAACCACTACTTGGTCCATTTGAATTGACTTGGCTCACTTCCATCAGCATGTGACGTCTCATCTGACTCATCACATGTCCCAACTCTAAATCCAGAAACCAAGGGGAAGGTTTCTTGCACCCTGTGTCCATTATAGCTCAAAAGAGTGCATAGTTCTTTGCTTACGCATTAAGAGCAGAGGGAAAGAGTAATGCAAAGGAGAAGAGCTACTTCTCTTTTGGGCTCCAACATACAATGAATGTGTTTGGAAAATACTGGTAATAATATTGTTGTTTCCTACTTATTCTTGGAAAGCTTGGAGCACCCTATGTAAGGATCCCAGTAGCCTGCTATCAAAGCACTAACCCAACACGGGCATACGCAGCTTCAACTATGCTGCAGCACGTAATAAAGTGACGTAATGTTCGAGTCCTTGGTTTTCTCACAGAAATGCACAATATCAAGGTATTTTCAGATATTGTTTTAATTACAATTTTATTTAATAGGATATTCAATATGAATATAGTTTCAGTGATGGTTTGGAGTGCTCACTATATGTTGTTGGATACAAAGGTGTTCCTTTTATTATAAAACCCAGAAGTTTCCCCTATTAGTAGTGCGGTATTAAAAGTAAGTCCATCGTGTGTTCATTTTGTAATTTCAGTGCATCCCGTATCACTGGGGCAATTTTGATTTTCATCTATGAAAGAGCATATAAGCCATGCTGACACTTCACATTTGCAGCACTGGGATATTCATTTCCTAACAACCATGCAAAAGGTATACCTTTTCATCTTTCTTATTAGCATTTCTTTTGAAGTCTGAACTCTGCCTGATCAGGCGGCACTGCCGGCCAAGAAAGGCAGAAAACCAATCAGCCGCTCTTCCTCCACAATCGTGTGTCTGCACTCTGTAAGGGAAAAGTGGAAGGAAGAATTCAGAGCTCCCTTTCAGATGCAAAACTAATGTCAGGCCGGTAGCAATGCATAATTAGATATTTTTAATGCCAGCCACCTACAATCCCGCTGTACCCACTATAACACAGTGTTAGCCAAAAACAGCATTTGGTAGAACTATTTTGTTAATCGAGAATATTATGTTCTGTTATTTACATAGCACAACTGTAAACCGCTTTATAGGTTTTCTTGTGTTTCTTCCTATTGTTTCCATTTCAGACGGGTGATTGAGGCTAAATTACGGCAAGTCTTCATTAGCCAGGGTAACATGATGGTGAGGTTTGGACACTGACCCCTGGTTCAGGAAACCAAGGTTTATGGAGCTGGGGGCTGGTGCCACAGCATGTGCCCTTCTTCCCTCACTTTCTTTGCCCCTGTCCCATGCTTGGCTTCTGCATAGAGATCCTGTCTTGCATTAAGAAAAAGTTCCAAATTACTTCTCTTCTTTAATATCAGTTCACATTCCAGGATAATAAGTCAGATTCAGATCACATTGCACACCGGTCCTGCTATCAAAACATTAATTATCAACATATTCAATTATCTGAACATAAAGAATTATGCCCAAACGTGTGGCTGATTCAGATATCCAAAGAGCCAGAGTTTTCCCACTTCCTTACTTGTTGTCAGGGACTGGGCAGAGGAGGAATGGTGGAGACTGCCTTCCCAGCCTGACCCTTCCAGAGAAGAGGAAGACAGTATAGATTTATAACAGGGGTTTGAGGGAGGTCACAGCTCAGAGACAGATGAAAGGAAAAGTTGGGAAATAAAGGGAGAGGAGGAGGAAGAGGAATAACCAGGTGGGCAACAGAGTCTTTAGAAAGCATTCCAGACCCCGCCCCCCAGAACCTGGCGAGCCTTGAAAGTAGGAGAGCAAAGAGCTCAAAGACAGAGGGCATTTCTCAACACCCATAAAAGCGGATGGTAAGAACATTCCTTGTCTTTGTATGTTCCTGGGCAACCGGCTGTGGGAGTCACTGGCAGCAGCCTGACACTTGTTTGTTCTTTGCTGGTTGATGGCAGCCAATTTTGGGCATTTGATTGGGGGGGGGGTGAGATTGGACAAATATCATTCATTTTAATTACGCTCCTATTTTTGAAAGTCTTTTCAGTCTATACTCTATTATAGTTCTCTCGGAATAAGTTCAGATTTTTAGATGCAATCCATACTCCTAAGTATTTAATTTTCATTTCCACTTTAATTCCTAAGTCATTTTCCAGTTCTTTCTTTGTTTGGTTATTTATATCCTAAGTTAGTATTTTCATTTAATCTTTAGTAATATAAAAATTCTGAGTTAGTATTTTCATTTAATCTTTAGTAATATAAAATTGCTGGCCCGAAGTCCATATCATCTAGGATCTTTGTCATAAAGGTCCATGAAACATTGTCGAAGGCCTTTTCCACATCTAGAAACAGAAGTGCTGCTTGCTTCTCCCTCCTTTCTTCCAGATATTCAATTATATTCAAAATATTTCTGATGGTATTTTTCATTTGTCTAGATGGCAAAAACCCACTTGATCTTCACGGATTACTGTATTCAATTCTGTCATCGTTCTATTTGCCATGATATTTGTAAATAATTTATAATCATTGCTTAATAAAGATATTGGCCCCAAATTCTTTGGGTGTATAGTTCTTTGGTCTTGTTTTGGAACTAATACTATAAATGCCTTTTTCCACAAAGGTGGGATTTCTTCCCCTTGAAGAATTTGGTTCACTACCTCCACCAGTGGTTGAGCCAGTATTCCTTGGAAGAATTTGTAGTACATCGAGGATAGTCCATCAGGTCCAGGCGATTTCCCTAACTTAGCTTGTTTCACCACTGTAATAACCTCCAGCAGCGTTATCGGGGTGTTAAGATTTTCGATTTGTTCTTTGGTGAGGTGTGGTTTAGTCATGCTGGCCACATGGCCCGGAAAGCTGTTTGTGGACAAACGCCAGCTCCCTCGGCCTGAAAGTGGAGATGAGCACCACACTCCAAAGTCAAATTTGACTGGACTTGACCGTCCAGGTGTCCTTTACCTTTACCTGCGAAAGTTAGTTCAGATACAGTGGTGCCCCGCAAGACGAACGCCTCGCAAGACGAAAAACTCGCAAGACGAAAGGTTTTTTCGTTTTCGAGTTAGCTCATAAGACAATTTCCCTATGGGCTTGCTTCGCAAGACGAAAACGCCTTGCAAGTTTGTTTCCTTTTTCGTAAAACCGTTAAAACCCAGGGTGCATTGCTGGAAGAGGTGCAGTTGCGACTTGACTTCGAGGAGCAACACATTGCACGCGGTGTGGTGGCCTTTTTGAGCTTTTTAAAGAGTTTGCTGAATTTTTGAAGCTTTTCCAAAACTTCTTTTGCAGCAGTTTGGTAAGTTAAACTTTTAAAACTTTTTTGGGGTTTTTTGGATTTTGGGTTGGGGTGCTTAGAATTCAAGGACTTGGTGTTGGGGAGAGGTTTGCAAGAATCTGGGAGCTTGTGTGGGTTTTTTTTGAATTTTTATGATTTTCTGTGACCATTGGGCCATGTTTATTTATTTATTTATTTATTTAAATCTGGGTTTGAATTTCTGTGTGCTGGGTGGATGGGGGAACAGCTGGGGAGGGGTTTGCAAGAATCTGGGAGCTTGTGTGGCTTTTTTTTTGAATTTTTTTGATTTTCTGTGACCATTGGGCCATGTTTATTTTTTTTAAAAAAAATAAAATCTGGGTTTGAATTTCTGTGTGCTGGGTGGATGGGGGAACAGCTGGGGAGGGGTTTGCAAGAATCTGGGAGCTTGTGTGGTTTTTTCTGCATTTTTATGATTTTCTGTGACCATTGGGCCATGTTGGTCTTTTTTGAAAAAATTTTCTGGGTTTTGAATTTCTGTGTGCTGGGTGGCTGGGGGAACAGCTGGGGAGGGGTTTGCAAGAATCTGGGAGCTTGTGTGGGTTTTTTTGAATTTTTATGGTTTTCTGTGACCATTGGGCCAT